TACAGATGTGTCAGTGAGTACAGATGTGTCAGTGAGTACAGATGTGTTTTTAGGAGAGATTTAAAGGCAGAGACTGAGGTGGCCTGTCGAATGTTGATGGGCAGATTGTTCCAGAGTTTAGGGCCCACGACTGAAAACGCTCAATCTCCTCTGAGCTTCAGCTGGTTTTAGGTACGGCCAAAAGCAGCTGGTCTGATGATCTCAAAGCCCGAGAAGGAGCATAGGGATGAAGAAGGTCGGAGAGGTATGATGGTGCAAGGCCGTTAATGCACTTGAACATCAGCAGGAGAATTTTAAAATCAACTCTGACACGCACAGGAAGCCAGTGAAGAGAGGACAGAACCGGAGTAATGTGCTCAAACCTGTGAGTTCCTGTTAAAAAGCCGAGCTGCAGCATTTTGTACGAGCTGGAGACGTGAAAGTGAAGCCTGACTGACCCCAACATAAAGTGAGTTACAGTAGTCCAGCAGGGTTGTAATAAATGCATGGACCAGTTTTCAAGGTCGGATCTGGACAGAACGGACTTCAGCTTTGCTATCTGCCTGAGCTGAAAGAAGCTTTTTTTTGTAGAACGGAGTTGATCTGTTTATTAAACTTAAAGTCTGAGTCTAACACTACCCCGAGACTGGTAACTGACTGCTTTAGATGTGGCTGAAGGGAGTGCAGGTTTACAGGATCAGTGGTAGAGCTTGGGTTAAACACAATGACCTCAGTCTTCTGATCATTAAAACTCAAGAAGTTTGCAGCCATCCAAGTCTTGATGTCATCAAGACATTTTAGCAAAGGGTGGATGGAGCAGGAACTGTTTGGTTTTAAAGGCATTTAAATGTTGTGAAAAAGTGGTGAGCGCACATTGCCCTATATAATATAATAGTCTACTTTTATATAGGTGCTATGTGAATTTGCATTGTTGCTATTAAATGAACACATATACTCATAAAATAAATAGTTTTTATATATGAAATAATTAGAAAACAGACTAATAGCCGTCTCTATATTGTATTAAACTGGTGCATTCATTTTTTAGGTTTAGGTAAAAAGTAAAACATTACATGACATAATATTACTTTTGTTGTTTTCGCAAATACAGTGGCGTGATAACTTAGGATAAGTTTTGGTATATATCTATTTTGAAGTTATAGT